TTATATCCACCAGCTTCAATGAGGTTGCTCCCAGCCCTTAGCATAACAATATCACCTCTACAATCTTCTAAAGGTCATTTTACTTCAGAAGTGACACATTTCATTTTGTTGAAGGTAGTTCCTAACAGCAGGAAACATATATACTATATTACAGTTGTTATAGTTACAGTTGTTTTACTTTTCCCCCCTCTGTGAATGTAGTTGAGTTCAGTTCAGATGGTTCTTATGCTAACATTGTGCAAAGTACAAAGCAGGCAGCAGTTTGATCTGAATCCAAAAAGCAGCTGCTATTTATTAACTGGCAAAGATGGGTGAATCTAGTGATCTGCTAACTTTGTCCTCCTTGTTGAAAACTACTTCAACCATAAAATGAGGTTGGTCATTTAGCAGATAACTTGTTATTCTGCTATGCTACAGGTTAAAAACTACACAATCCAAGAATATTTCAACTGGCACATATACATATACACACATTCATACAAAGAAAAGCATGATTAATTTTTCGATTAATTATATGTCTCTAGAAAGTTCAGACAACCACAGCTCAGGAAAATGTAATATTATCCTCTCAGTCAGACATGAATGACAGAAGTTTTTTCTGTTTTTTCTCTCACACACACCTTACCCTCACTGAAATCCTGACTCTGACTAAACTCTGGGCTGAATTGTGCCCTAGGTTTACATACATGCAACTCACACAAGGCAATAGTGTGGCTGGTGTGTAAAGACAGAATTTAGTTCAATGTGTTTAATCAACACAATTTCCAAACAAGAAACACTCCTGAGCAGTCACTAACTTTCTGAGGGCTTGTCTGGATGAACAGTTAGTGCACAGCAAGCTGGGGTGTAAATTTGGAGCACACTAGCAGAACGAAGAGATGCTCATAGGACAGTGGTATCAGTCTGTCCGAGCCAACAACCACCTCCTGGATTAAATGGAGGAACTGAGGGGACTGAGGTTGATGGTCCAGGAGAGGGCAGAGAGGTATGACAAACGTAAAAGCATGGACATTGAAGTACAAAGCATAGTGACTGCTGACCAGGAAACTTAAATCCCCATAGAAGAATGGAGTAAGGATTCAAGCACCCAGGAAGATGGTATAAGGGTGTGAATTCACCATCCAATGAAGGACTTAGTATTGACAGCCACTCTTACGACAGTTGTGTCTACTATGGAGGCTGCAGTATTTGTAGTAGCTTTTATGGCTACCCAACAAACCCAATTCCTACTGGAATAGAAAAAGGTAGAAGATAGGATTGTGGCAGTGGATAGGGTCAAAGAGGAAATGGTGCAAATGCACATGCTACAGGTCCAAAAGGTTAAGGCTTTACAAGAACACAAATAAAGCGCTCCTCAAGGGAGCAGATCTTAGCCCAAGCTATACTGCAGGAACAGGACCTGGCCCATCTCAGAACTGAAAAAGACATCATGGAACAGCAATGTTTATTGCTGCAGAAGGACCTGACTAAGCTTCAGATTTTGCTTAAGGTCCAGCTGGGGCTGAAGTCCAGCATGGCTAAAGTTAAAGACCTGGGAAGGCTGAAGTAGCCATCCTGAAAAAAGGCTTGGACTCATACAGAGTGCAATCACTGCATCATAAAGATGGATTGAGCCAGCAGGGACCACAGACTGATGAAATTCAGAACTCCCCTGCCCTAGGTCCAATGATACGGGATCAAAACAAAGCTGCAAGGCAAAGCCACAACCTGACCTCTGCTAAAAAGAAGAACCAAGCCAAGCCACTCAAACCCCACCAAGATTGGATAGTAGCCCACAGGGAGCGCCAGGGGTGAAAAAAGGACTGTGGTACCACACCCAGTGCCTAGGAGTCACTCAAGAGGTGAGTCCCCCCCATTACAGATACAAAATGGGAGTGTTGCGCAAGTTGTCACTTGGCAACCCTGTCAACCAATAGTAAAAAGTTGACTATTCAAGAGCTCTAAAGTGCCCTGACAATTTATTAATATTACAACAGCATAATTCCGCCAGCAGGAACATTCTCCAGGAACAGATTAACTCCACTAGGCCAGCCAGTGACTCCTCTACAATGGGGCCACTAGATGCTACAGTAATACTACTAATAAGCACAGGGTACAGCAGTTTTGTTGTGCTTCTGTGTCTCCTATCAGCTAGTAAGGATGTTATTCATGGCATTGGAGTACACTCACAATAACTGGTATTTGCAATTTCCCTCCCTCCTGATACCCCTCTTGCATCATGGGCGTATCATTGTGGGCAAAATCTGAGGAGTTTGCAGAGGGGGTGAGAGAAGCCCCAGAGGCAAGTTTGTGGGTGGGGCCAAAGAATTTCACTGGCCATATGACTTTGCATAATGGAGGGAAGTGAGTGCACCATGCACTGAGCCTACAGAAGGCCCAACACTGTGGTAGTGACTATGAAGTGACTCTTTTGCTGGTGCAGCCTGTGGAGATGATTCTTTACTTCTCAAGCCCAGGTACTTGAGCTTGGCAAAAGTGAGAAACATTTATCCCTTAGGCTTTTGTTCACTCAAAAATGCCATTTTTGCTTCTAATAATTCTCCGCTCCACCCCCATGGACATTATTTAAATGAATGCAGGAGCCTAATAAGGTGGCAGTGAATTTGATTCAGTACAGGTTGAGTTTGATGAAGGAAGCTAGAAATAAGTATACCCTTAGCACTGACCTTTAGGTTGCACATAAATAGGTGTTAGAAATAATGTCTGATACTTCAGAAGAAAAGGGAGAGTTCTGGGCATCTCTAGATGGCATATTGTTATGAATTCTTAGATCGTTGAAATCAGCCTAGTTCTTTGGCTTTACAAGAGAGAGAGAGCTGTTATCACTTATTTTATCCAGTGTAATATTACAGAGAGGGAACTTGCATTTGGTCTTAGCTTGTCAACGTGATGCTCTTTGTCTCTGAATGTGGCCTATTCAGTTTGTAGCTTAAACCAGTGGGAATTTTGGTCATGTAGTTAAACTGTCCAATAAGTGACAGAAAACTTGAAATGGGTATAACTTACAAAGGACATTTCAAATACTCTAAAGAAAATTACAGTCTTTCAGTTTAGTGTTTTCTTGTTTTCCAGGTATTGTTACCATGTTCCCAATAAAAGAGCCCCAGAGTGGAGAAGTTCTTGTTGTTTTTTGTTTTAATTCATACTGAATTGGGGTCTAGGTTATAATCACATAACTTGGTTTACAAAACACTAATTCATCCAGTGTACACAAAGAATAAGTGCTGTGCTGAATGCATTTGATGCAATAATTTAATTTTTCCTCTGCGTTCCTGCAGAGAAAAAAATGGGGACACCAACCAGTTTGTCCAGGATATGACTGTCAATGATGAGCTGCTCCCCTGACTCAGAGAATCTAGCACACATATATTATAATGGTGAGCAACAGATATGACTTTTCTGAGTAAATTGGACTAGTCTAGTGGATTTTCTCAGAGAAATTCTTTGCACGCATGGAGTAGAGAAGAACTTTTATTCTTAAAATCTATTTACTTTTCAAAGAAACCAACATCAGCCTGGCAGCAATACTTACGATTATTTCCTGCCCAAAGAGAGTAAAAGTCAAAACTTGGCTTTTTTTTTTTTTAAATTAAGATAATTTTAGATGTTATGGGGCTTTCAAGGGATCCCTCTCCCTTTTTCTATCCAATTAGCATGTTTTTCTCCACAATTTCTGCACAGGAATAGGAGTTTGCACTAGTAGAACTCAATGCAAGCTGGAGTCATAAGGCTTGCAACGAAGGGTCTACTTCCTACTATTGTATCTAACTAAAGATTCACATTTTAAAAAAATTCTCATTTCTCATTCTATAAATCTGTTTTTCACTGGTGGCAGCTGAAACTTCTGAAATCCATTAATGTGTCTTCGGGACCTTTTTGAATTCCCATTATCAAATAGTACATCAAATTGCACAAGAAAAAATTTTACACAGAACTTATGTTGGATTCATTGGATAATTGTTACTCTGTTCTAACAGTTCATTTATCATTTACTGTGTATTTTCCAAGTATTTGTGTAAATTTAAATAATTCCATGTATTTATGTATTAAGTCCATCTTTCCTGTTTCACATCTCCATTTATTTATCCCTGGTATGTTGGTTTCAGGGTTTTATTTTAAATTTTTTATTTGTTGCTATATTTTGTGCTGGTGAACAAGAATTCTCCCTTTCTTCATATGTTGTTGGAATCCCCAGATATTTTCCCGTATGCTTCTTGATGTTCCAATTTTGTATCTATTACATCAGTTACTACTTTTATAATCATGAGTAAGAAATGTAAGTCCTGATTCTGTAAATATGTATGCATGTGGTTAACTTTACCATTGAAGGCACTGGAGCCACTCAGGGGGTTAAGCATGTGTGAGGAGAAAATACTGGTATCAAAGAGCTCTTTAATCTAGCAAAAAAAGAAATAAGAAACAGTGGATCAAAGTTAAAGTCAGACAAATTCAAGTTAGAAATAAGGGACAATTTTTTAACAGTGAGGGTTTTAACCATTGGAACAAACTGCTAAAGGAAGTAGTGGATTCCCCATTTCTTGATGTCTTCAAAACAAAACTGGATGCTTTTTTGGAAGATATGCTTTAGTCAAACACAAGTTACAAAGGTAACTGGATGAAATTTATGGCCTGTGATGTACGGGAGGTCATTCTAGATGATTGTTCTAATGGTCCCTTCTGGCTTTAAAATCTATGCATCTACGAATAACTCTTATGGAGTTAGATCTTAGTGTTCTATTCCACTGTTTAACTTTAATTAAGGATGGAATATTCAGATACCTGTGAATGGAAATGTGTAAGTTCTGGTAACAAACTTGTATTAGGAACAAAAAATGTATTTTTGAGTTCCCAAAAAGATTTAAAATACTGCTGCTGCTTTTTAAAGAAAAATGTTGTGGAGTTAATTACAAATTATTTAAAAGAGCAGTGAAAGATTTATAAATGTATAGATCTGAAAAATATATTTGCATTGAATGCATACTTGATTTTTTTTTTGACAGCCTTGTTAAACATGGTGATGCATGCTTTGAGCCAGATGAATGCCCATGTTCATGGAAAGGAAAGGAGTACTTCCCAGGTGACAAAGTCATTTCTGCCTGTCATACCTGGTAAGCAAAAATCTATCTGTCTGTTTACTGTTCTTGACTATATTTTTCAAACCAGTTTCTAGTATTCCATCTCCAGTAATTTTATTTTTACATTTGGGTTCAAATATATGTTAAAAATAGAACTTTTTTTTAGAACTGGAACAAGAGACTCCCAAGTGACTGAATAACAGCATGTTATTTGGAAAAAGGGAGTCGCATTATAGGCAGGAGTTAGAAGAATCATTATCTTGACTATCAGTATCCCAAGGTAATTAGATATCATTGTATAAAACACAAACACATAGGGCCAAATTGAGAGGTGAGATAAATGGCAGCATAAGTTGCACGTTGGTAAGACAGTCTAAATGGGTATATATTGGTATAAGTTACATGCCAAGGGGTCAGAAAGGGAGACTGTATTGCAACTAACAAGCATGCAAAATAAAGGAGAAATGGAGCCTGCTTTCATTTGCACCCACTTCTACCTTCCTGACAATTGCTTCTCCTGTTAAAACCATTCACTTCTACTCCTTCAGTTCATAATATATGAATCAGTATAATTCAATATGATTAGTCACCATATACAGTAATATCTATTGTATCAGATATTTCACAGGATGAATACAACCCATAGTTTATTCATGAAATGAGACTTCCATTCATTTAATCAACAGGTATATCAGAGTTATTCATTTTCAAATTAAATATATTACATGTGGCATAGATACATATTAAGAAAAAGAAAATATATAACATACTATATTTAGTGTAACTGTTACTGCTATGCTATAATTATATCAAGGGGCTGAGTCCCGAAGGCCTTTTTGGGGGGGAAAATTTCCCAAAGTGCCTAAGTTCCATTTTCAAAAGAGACTTGGGATTCTAGCTCCTAAGTCTCATTGAAAGCCTTCTATATGCTTAAGTCACCTTTGAAAATGGAGTTTAGGTTCTAAGGCTCACATAATTGAATTCTTAGGTGCCTATCTTCAGTTAGGCACCTAAATACCTTTGAGGATCTGGGCCTAAATCACTTAGGCAAATCTGATTTTTTTCTATCATGCAAAAGTCCCTTAAATTAAGGACGGAGTAAGGACTGCTGGAACTGGACTGACTACACATGTGTCACTAGCTGATTCCAAGATTCAGCCTCTGTTCAAACAACTATATTGTATGCAAGCTATTCCTTGTTACATGTATTTGATTTTTTTATTGATGTGAACTACTGTGTAACATATTACATTGATGTGAGACCATTTTCTTTTTACTGGTTCAATATAAGAAATGCCGGTGTCTGGTACATTATGGAACCTACAGATTCAACATACAGTTCAATGGATGTCATTTCAAACTGTACCAATTCAACATGTAATATTTTTTTCAGGGTGGGTTTTATTGATATCATTACTACATAACATTTCAGTCTGCAACCTATCCACACTCCTAACACTTTGTAGACTATATTTTACTGGGTTTGCTTTTTTATTAATATTTCTAATCTTTGAAAAATTATCTGTAAAATAACTGATTATTTGTCAGTTTCTACACTTGATATTCCACTATTGATCATACTTTTTCAGTATCTGCCAGCATGGGTCATTTCAATGCACCTTCCATCCCTGCCCATCAATGTGTACTGTGTACGGGGATCGGCATTACAGGACATTTGATGGACTCACATTTGACTTCATTGGAGCTTGTAAGGTTCATCTAGTTAAGGTGAGAATTTATTTTAAAGTCTCCCCAAATCCAGTTAAAAAATTAAATAGGTGAAATATCTGCAACAAAGATTTTTTTGCTACTTTTTCAAAAATCTTCACTTTATTTAATATCACATTATTGTTTCATTTGTATGATTAACATTATAATGCAAATAATTTCTTTTTGTGTTATACGCTAATATTGAACAAAACATATCAGCAGGAAAAGACAAAATGTACGGCCACATTTTTGGAAACAAATGAAAGCTGATGGGGCCTGAGGCTCTCCAGGCTTCTATGACATGCATGCAGAGTACAATTCAGCTTCCATTCCACCTCCTGCTTACCAGTACATTAAGTTGATGTTTCACCTGTCACTTTATGAACTTTGTCGCTGCTAAAACTTTGGACCATGAATTAGTTAGAATGGTTTGAGGCTCACCCAGCCCAGTAAGGTGTTCAGTCAACATCTGCCTTATAATCCTGGGTATCTTGTGGCTGTACAGCTTTGGTCCAGAACTCTTACCCCAACAGCCTACCAACAGCCCACAAGACTCAATCTGGCTTTGCCCAACTTGTTTACTTCTTGCAGGCTGACCTTAGTACCCTTCCAGCCCTGAATTTGCCCCAAAATCATCCTACTGCAGGGACCAGATCCTCTCACTAGAACCCCACAGAAAAAGTATTAGTGTAACATTCCAACTTGTCAGCTTATTAGAAGCACACACTTTACTGAATTTATGCAGCATCATTGATTTATAATTAAATCAAATGAGTATATTAACAAAGGAGCATGGCTTAAGTGATACCAAGTAAAAGAGATAAAGGTAGAGACACAAGCACATAAAAGTGCTTACAAGCACATAAAAGTGAAAAACATGCATCTAAACATAATCTAGCAAGATCCGGTCTTTGTTCAAAATGGTTTCTCTCACCCACAGCCTCCCTTCCAGTTCTTCACTGGATGACCTGGCCAGGACCCATCACAGAGATCAAATTGGTTGCTTCCTTTTGTTTCCTTACAGTGAAGGATAAAGATGGAGTCTCTCTCTGTCCCTTATATTACCAAAGAAATTGTCTTTGCCTTACAAGTCGGGAAAGCCTTCTGCAGATTCAGTCTCCTGTGTCTCTCTGGGGCGCAGGAGCCATGTTAATTCTCTGACTCTACAGTTCAGACTCTAGATAACCCCTGCTGGTTTAACTTGATGGCTTTGTTTACTGCTAATATGTAAATTGAGGTAAACCCACATTCCTTTGTGTATGACAGACCTGTTTATTACCTTTACCTAGCCTAGGCTGTCTTTGTCTTAAACATGTTCTTGTAACATCATATAGAGGGGAACTAATAATTTCACATATAAGGTTAACACATGCATTTTACAAATATATTAATAACCAACATGTTATTAGCTTTCATATGGTACATCACAAGGCATATTTTGTACAAATATTATTGCTGTCATGTGTAGAGTGTGAATACAGGAGTGCCTAGGGTGAAATATACTTATAGCACATTGAGGTTACTGCTACGGAAAAGAACAAAATAATCATGCATAACTATAGCAGTGTATTATTGATTCAGTTTACATATTTTTTTTTTTCTGCAGAGCACTTCAATTACTAGTTTTTCAGTCATTACAGAAAACGTTAACTGCTTTAATACTGGAATAATTTGCAGAAAGTATATTTCCATTAATGTTGGAAAATCTTTTATAACATTTGATGATGACACTGGAAATCCAGTAAGTTTCACTTTTTAGCCCCGAAAAAAGGAAAAATGTATATTTGGAACGGGATGGTCTTGTTTATATATAAATACTTTAAAACTATACTAATTAACCTGCAAATGCTTGAATCTCTTATACACTAAATGCTGATTGCATTTGGCTAGTCTATTGGAATCATTGGGTGAAATCTAGGGCCTGTGTTATGCAGAAGGTCAGACTGATGATCATAATGCTTGTTTCTGACCTTAAAATCTATGGATGAAATCCTGGCCCCATTTAAGTCAATGGAAGTTTTGCCATTAACTTCACTGATCAGGACAAACAAATGCATGAGGACAGACACAGGGATGGGCTTTAAGAGGCAGGTTGCAACTTTATTCAACTTAGTGTCCCTTTTTGGTGTTTTCTACCCCATCTTCCCATAACAGGCATTTAGGTGGATCCACTGTGGGATTTATAGGGCTCCTATCATAAAGCCTATAACTGTCTACCCCTATGATTCAGCTTGCTCTGCTGAATCCTCTTCCCCTTCCCCTACAAAGGACACAAAAGGTACTAAAGAAGAACGTTTTTCTATGAAGACTCCAGGTCTCCCCTTTTCCCATAGGCCTGAGGCCCATCAGAGAAATACCAGATCTCTTATTTCTCGGCACTGGCCCTTTTTGTCCACACTGGATGCCGGCTGCAATTTATGATGTACTAAACATTTGTACAATTTCCAATATTAAATTTCTAAATCCTTTCCTATCCATGGTGCTATGAGGAAGGTGAAAAAAACTACCAGATTCAGACAATTTGGTTGCAATGGGAAAAATTCCTTCCTGACCCCTAAAACAGAAAGTCAGTTGGACCCACAGTATCCTAAATCACACTGTTCCTGTACTATGGGGAGGGAGGGTGGGTTCAGCTAAAGTGGGGCAAGGAGATTGAGAGGTCCCAGGCAATGGTTTTAATTAATGATTGTGCGGAGCAAGAAACCAGTTGGTGCCCATTTCTCTCTTGCCAGCCAACAGGCAACACTACACCCAGGGAGAGGAGGGGCCTACCTCTGTGTACTCTTCCCCTTTAATTCTAAAGCTGTTTGGTGCTTTGTGGATCCAGTCAAGTCTTCCACCCATTAAAGTGGCAATTCATCCTATGAATCTGGATTTCAGAATACTTCCATACAATTGCATAAAATACGTGCCGGTTTCTAGTGTGCTCCATGGTTTGGGTTGATTTTTCATTACTCTAGGTCAGATTCTGCTATCTTTATACAGAATGTTATTTATAATAATAATTAATAAATTAATATATAAAAGCTTTACTCTGTGTGAGAAAGGATGGCGGACTCTGTCCCTATATAGTTCAAGAAAGCACGCAAATATATGATTACATTAATCTATATTCAGGAAAGTACTTAAGCACATGCTTAAGTCTTTTTGAGTTCAATGGAAATTCAGTTTAATTTTGCAGGTCTCAGGCACCTGTTCAGCATTTTAGTATCCTACCCACTCATACTCTCCTCATTGACTCTGAAAATGTGAAAAGTCCTAGATGTTTGTTTAAAAAAACCCCAAACACTCAAAAAAAAAAAAAAAAAAAAACATGTAAAGCAGGTAATCCACAACAAATCCAGCATTAATCATGGTAAAAATCCCCCCTTTATTCCTCTGTGGTAATCACTCAGTATTGGGACAAATTTTCAAATCATCCCCATCATTCATTTTATTGATGTCTGTTTCCTGACAAGCAGACACCTTTTAAAGACTTTACTTATATTATGTGATGGCTTATTTTGTTTTGAACAGAGTCCATCTAGTTATATAGACAAACAACAAAAAATACACTTATGGAAAGCTGGATTTTTCACACTTGTTCATTTTCCTAATGAACACATCACCATTCTGTGGGATCAGAGAACAACTATTCATATACAGACTGGACCTCAGTGGCAGGTAAGCAGAGATCAACACACCTAAAGTCATTTGTACAGGATTGAAAGACTAACATAACTATCTGACCATGGTTCAGAGAATAGACTAGAAGATCTATCAAACACATCTGCCAACTCAAACAATTCTATAGTAATTGAATTAATATGAAGTAAATGATCAAAATTTGGCAAAATTATAAGCAACTGAAAATGGGATATGACAGGCAACCTTAATGGGTAAGGCTAGTAGCACTGACTAATACATATAATTTTTTTAGGGTGAACTGACTGGATTATGTGGAAATTTTGACTTGAAAACAATAAATGAAATGAGGACTCCAGAAAATTTTGAGTTAACAAACTCTCAAGAGTTTGGAAGTAGCTGGTCAGCTGTAGAGGTAAATAATAACAAAAATGGCTTTCCTAGTAAATCCTTGTGTAACACTTTATAGCTCATCAGCCTCAGAACCAATAATTCCATTCCTGGAATCTCCCCTCGGTTGCAAACAGTATTTACAATATCTACTGACCTTATTATAATAATTAATTAAAGTGAAGTGGGGAAAAAAGGACAGGAAGTTTTTTCTTCCTAAAGCACTGATATATGGAGGATTGATGTTCAGTATTCTGTTTTATGTTTGTTCTAAATGTACTGCAGTTTTTCATTAAATTTAGTACATTGCTCAAAGAGTAATAGAAACATTTAGAGAAACAACCCTCTAAAATATTCCCATCTTTTGCACTATAGAAACACTGTAATTAAAAACTTGTGTACTTTTAAATATTTTATATGCAGTATCTATATAAATATTTATTTTAAATGAATTAATGTTGAGTATTTAGCTTAGCAGAAGGAAACCATGCATTACCAAATACATATGCACTTCTGAGATTACTATTCAAAAGTCCAATTGAAACTTTTTAAAATAAAACATTAAATAATGAAAAAACTCAAGGCTTGCTTATATGAGTAATCTTTTTTATTCATGCAAGCAGGACTACACGTGTGAGTAAGGCTTGGACCCCAACAAAGTGAATGTATACAACTGTGGCTTTGTTTTTCCTTTTGCCTCAGAACAAGTGAAACATTTTTCCACAATGGGCTGTTCCGTCTTCACAGATTTACCTTCCTCTATTTAATAATAAGTCTTAGGTTGTCTTGACTCCTACAATGAGTGCTTTAGAAATGATGCATTTGATTTGTGCTCACATGAATTATTTGAAACCTGATTTTTGTTAAAAAAAGGTTAGGTTTTGAAAGTTCAGATAGCATAGTGGTTGTGAAACAAGTTTCTGGGGGGTGACAATTTTGCTTTCTGGTTTAGTGTGTTGACAGCTCTGACATTCGAAATCCATGCAGTTTGAACCCACTTAGAGAGCCATTTGCCAAGAAAGAATGTGGGATACTGTTAAGTGAAATGTTTGAAGCTTGCCATCCAGTGGTGAGTAGTGATAACAAATAAAATGATGTGAAGTTCTGTGTATATGATTAAAAACCTTACATCACTTTAAATCCCAGTCTTATCTAACATGACAGAGTGAGATAGAAAACATGACCCATATCTGTTCTGATTCCGATCTATTAGCACTTGCTCATTTGCATGTTTCATAATGATCATGTGCTCTCAGCTGATCTCCAGTTCATCTAGACACATTTAACTAACTAGATATACTTTAGGGCCTGATTGTGCAACTCTTACAGTGTAGACCCATGTAGAGAGCACTTTACAATATTTCAATGAGAAAACTTAGCACTGGTAATAATTGATTTTTCTTTTAAGTTTGGTCACACACAACAAGACTTCATGACAATCAGAGGAAAAAAATCACAGAATTATTTTTATGAAATTGTCTATATGGAGAACAGTTCATCACTAATTTAACCACATTTTTGATCACTTATTAAATGATGTGTGTCCAGTGGTTCTTAACAAGCTTGCTAAGTTTGTTTATTTATGGTTAATTTGAGGAAATTAATAAACTAAAAATTAGAAATATTAAAGTTTAAATTACAAGTAAACACTGTTACCGTGTCCCATACTTCAAGTCAACATAAACATCATATTACTGCACTGATTCCTATGTATCACTTGATTAATTCAATTGTACCACTAACCAGTGTACTAGTTTCTCATGACTATGATGATGCTTTGTGTTTTAGGCAGACACTTAAAATAACACCTATCATATCTTGAAGTCTTACTTGTTAAATTGTCAAAGTCTGATAGCTCTGTATTGAGATCACTTGTCAAAGTCTATGTGAATTATTTTATGTTATTACAATAACATTTATATTCTTCAGGTTGACGTCACCTGGTTTTATTCAAACTGCTTGACAGACACATGTGGTTGTAACCAAGGAGGTGATTGTGAATGTTTCTGTACAAGTGTATCGGCGTATGCACATCAGTGCTGTCAGCATGGAGTCATAGTAGACTGGAGGTCCCCCAGAGTGTGTCGTAAGTTTTCTCAACCAAGTACTGGGCCCAGCACATTGCCAGTCTATACACTGGATCAAGTTCTGAAAAAGTAACCAAAGTTTGAATCACATGAGCACATCCCTTTTAAAGTCAGAGCAATGGCAGCAGAGCTGTTGGTTGGAAGTAGATGCAGCCCTCTGCTTGGCTTCTATTCCCAATTTGGGCCATGGGATTTGCACTATGTGAGAACTGCTGGTCACTTCTATGTTTGTGGGTGACACACCCACATTTTCTTCTTTTCCCATTACCTTCTGGAGACCCAGCACAAGATATCCTATGGGATGTGGATGGAGTTACTTGTGTGGATTTTTCACTGCTCTGGAAATGTGAAGTGTCCCCAAATTAGCTGATATGAAGCTAGCTGTACAGCATATAATCACAGCATAGGCCAAATCCAAACTCAATTATTTTGGGTGAAAGAGATAAGAGGAGCTGCAAGGGTCAAATCTTAGAGTCCCCCTGCAGGAGACAACACCTTTACATGCTTTACAACACTTCCCCTGCAATGTGGAGGTGGGGAAGGATTAAAGAATGTTCTGAACAAGTGTAATTCAGGATTTAAAATATTGCTATATTATTGTTTGTTAATACAGTTTTGACAAGAGGCTGCAGCTGAGATTGAGGCACAATCGTACAGCACCTATCACAAACACATAGTAAAAGATAGTCCTAGCTGCAAGGAGTTTATGGTCTAAGAATGCAAGACATACAAAAGGTGGCAGAAGGGAAGTATTTGTACATTACAATTGAGAAGGGAGGCACAGAGAGATTACGTGAGTAGCCTAAGGTCACACAGGGAGCCTGGTAGAGTGGGGAAGCTACATAATAGCTTCTGACATTGTAGATTATACGCAGGTATTTTAATGTCAGCAAGGAAAGATTGTAAAGCTGAGTCTTGACCACTAGAGGTCACAAAAAGATAACCTTATGTGTTTGCAGTGAATGTGTGCTCTGAGTTTAGTGCATTTTTACTCAAATGTTATAATAAATGCTTTGCCAATTAGTAAAATTTTGTGCAAAATCTAACTTAGTTGACATTTGGTTTTGAGCCGCTTTTGGTTGTCCATTCATTAGTGGGTTAAAGGAAAACTTGTTTTTCTCTAAATTTCAAATCTGCAAAATGTCTGTATCTAAGTGTTTCTTTCCTTTATATTTTTTTAGCTTATGACTGTGAATATTTCAATAAAGGTAAGTCCTACAATAATGATGAAGAGTTGATAAGGAAGCAAGAAAACATTTTGTTATGGTGTATAATTATTATCATTTTGAATAAAAGTAGAAACTTTGGATCCATGTTCATGAAGAGAAATGGAAGTTGCAAACACTATATTGTTTTAATGTTCGGGTTACTGTATTGCAGGTTTGCTTTGCTGTTTCCAAGAGCTAGTAATCATGGAATCTACTTCATATTGAACATAGACCTACTTCACTAATATATAACTTATTTACAATTAATGTAAATGTTTGAAGATCATAAATAAATAACTGTTCATTAAGTAACTAATGGCATATTTTATCCAATAGAATTTGTGCCAGCCAATTATATTAGTATTATAGTTGACAAATTTCTCTTATGTGGTTTAAAAAATGTAACCAGTGAAAACTATTGTACTGTGGAAATGAATCCAACTCCAAAGTTAGGGGTGTTCAGAGTCAAGATTTTGGTTTAGATCCATCTATAGTTTATTAATAAAAGAACAGCTAGTCAAGGGCTAGTTTACTATATTATAAAGTGATAATAGCTTTAATAGTAATGTCTTTTATTAAACACTGAAAGATTATATTGATAAAAGAAAATATGATGGAAACACTGAGGTCATAATATCCTAGATGTAGTTTAAGAATCAATTCTCTTTCCCAAGACAGATGATGCAGTCACCACCAAACATGGTGTACTGTGTTATAATTAGCCCACATTGTAAATAAATGAAAATAAAATTAATGAAAGCTATACATAATATCAGGGAAGAAGAGATAAAGGAGAATATATGGAAAATATACAGATAATCTACAGTTCATTTTGTTCTATGCCATACCCAGTTTTGAAACAGAGTTGGTTAATTTGTATCATACAGGAAAACAGTCCATATAATATGAGGTCCCTCAGTACTGTTTCATAGTTTAAAAACAACAGATTTACATACATCTGAGCCTAAGAAATCTATTCTTTTACCAAAGGCAGAGTATAATCTGGAATAATTTTTACTGTGGGTTTCCCAAAACTAGTGACCTCTAAAGATGCCTAAAAATTGAACTGGTATTTAGTACTTAGGACAACAGTACTGATTGCTAAATGATCTGGGAAGCCTCAAGAGGTAGCTAACTTTCGAGAGAGAGCCACAAACAAGCAACTAACTAACTAAGACAGTCTGATCTGAACAATTTTCAGGATTCAGGGTACCTTGTAAATCTGCCTGTTGAACCTATGAAGACATTTGTTTCTTTTTGGATAGGCTCCAGACACTGCATTGAGCTTGTAATGGAGTCAGTTCTCCAGAGGGAGATTGGATGGGGCCTCCAGTAGAAGAGGCTGCTTGTGCCTCTTTACCCTCTTTGCTCACCATACGAAAGGGCCAGAGAAAATCTGACTAAAGGATTTGCCTTGCCTGGTGATAGGGGTTTTTGAAAGTGTTTTCAATTTGAGCTGAACTGCTCAGACAAGTGTTATATAGTAGGTTTTTAACTGATAAATTGCTATTTCAATATTTTAATTTAAATACAGGAAAATGCAGTAATAAGGGATTATTGCCATTTATAATTTCTTTTTTGTATTTTTTTTCACAAATGAAGTACCATATGACTGAATGACTGGAAGTTTGAAAGTATAATGTTCAAAATTAAAGGACTGGAAACACGCCTTACAGTGATAAAATCAAGGAGCTCAATTTGTTTAATTTAAGAAAGTGAAGGTTAAAGGGTAATTTGATCACAGTCTATAAGTACCTAAATGGAGAACAGAAATTTGTTAATAGAATCTAACAGACAACAGTATAACAAGATCTAATGTCTGGAAATTGAAGCTAGAGTAATTCTGACTGGAAATAGGGTACACATTTTTAATAGTGAGGGTAGTTAACTAGAGCTGGGTGAAATTTTTGTCTGAAACTTTTTTCAGTGAAAAATGCAGATTCAGTCACTCTGAAGCATTGTATACATTTGTATCAGTTTCATTGAATTGTTTCAGTTGAAAAAATCCTAAAACAAAAATTCTAAATATTTGACATGTTGTGTTTTGACATTTTCAAGAGGAAATGCTTCACATTTTTTGGTTTGAAATGACTTAGTTTCAAAATTACTTTTAATTGTATTAGAAAACAATCATAAATGTTTGAAAATAATCCAAATTGAAATAAAACATATAGGTTTTGCTGAAATTAAATGATTTGTTCAGCTTAAAATTATTTTTTTTCTTTCAATTTGCCAAAAAAATTGAAAAATGCTGGTGTTGGTCTGACCTGATTTTTTTTCTCCAAAATTTTGGAACAATTGACCAAGGATTGTGGTGGATTCTCCATCACTGGAAATTTTTTAAATCAAGATTGGATGTCTTTCCAAAAGGCATGTTATAGTTCAAACAGGAATTATTTTGGGGAAGCCTGATAGTCTGATTTACACCAGAGGCAAAACTCAATTATCACAATGGTTCCTTCTGGCTTTATAATCTATGAAAAATGATTCTAATGAACCCTGGATGTAGCAAAGTAAAATTAGATAATAAGGGGTACATTTTCAAATTGTGATGTTAGTTTTAACTGTTATTAAAAGCTGTGGGCGGATAATTACTGTAAGTGTGAGTATGCATGTGTGTATATCTATATGCCTATATATCCACCACATTTCTGTTAGTAATAGCCATGTGATAAATACATTTGTCATATAACTTTCACCGCCTTCACCTTCTCTTTACCTGCTAATCCATCTCATCAGGACTTGTTATAATAGGCCAAACAGCTGCCATTAAAAAAAAATCATCCTGCCACAAAAACACATCCTCCTTCTCCCCAAAATATTAGCCTGACCTAAGGCTCAAGAAGGCTAAGATCCAGTCCTGGGCCAGTGATGTGCTTTTTGGGCACAACAATGTCCTGACCTTAGAGCTGTGTATCTCATATCCCTCCAAAGCTGGAAACAGATGCTTTTTATATTGCCAATTTATTAATGGGATTCAGTGCATAATTCATGCCTTGAAAGAGCCTGAGATATCAGACTTTAATTCATGATAATTATTAGTTCTAGAAATGCCATTTCAGGACATTTTATGGCTTTTTCTGACCCTGTACTTTCCATGCAGGGGAACTAAGAGACCTGGCTTTAAGGCAGAAGGATACAAAAAATAGTCCCAGTTAATTTTAAAAAAAAAAATCCTAAAAATATGTTTTTCTACAATATTATTGGTATAATCAAATAGGTGATGGTGTGACATCATAGGAAGTATTTATCAGCATGTGTTTAATCACAATGTAACTCGCCCTTCGGTTTTATCACTTGTGAATAAGACACCCAATTTCAAATTCATGCTGATAATACCTTTATATCACACTACTACACCACTGTGTGCACATGTATACAAAAAGATAACATTATACATGCACTCTTACTATCCAAGAAGTTCATTTATACATGATGACTATTGTTAAATAGAGACAAGATGGATGAGGTAATATCTTTTATTGGACCAATTTCTATTGGTGAAAGAGACACATTTTTGACATTACAAAGAGCTGATCTTGAGCTCTGAGAAAGGTACTCAGAGTGAGTATTGTTAAACAGAGGCATTTATAATGTGATTTCAATAATGCTGTGATCTACTGAGAGCTACTGGTAGCATCCTTATAATACAAATATATTAATCCTATAGCTGAAAATCATCTAATAAATGTTCACTATATTTCAGCATAGCTATTTAGTATTTAAATATATATTTGCTATAAGGTATTACCAGCCATATGCTAAATAAATCACATCAGTTGCAAAAAAATGTTTGTATTATTTTGCATCTGTCAAATAGTTAATTTTCAAATCTAGAGGAAGCTGTATGAATCTTTGCAAAACCTCAGAACATATGTATATGGATAATACGCCCATTTCAAATTCAGGCTGATAAGACTTTTTTATACCACACTACTTCAGCATTGTGTGTATGTAGATATAGGTAATATAATTAGGCTTGGCAGAATTCAATTTTTATTTTTTTTTGTAATTTTGATGGATAATATTAATATTTATTTTAAGCCTGTTTAGATTTTTATCGACCTTTACATTTTCATAGTTGAGGGAAATTATGGTGTGGGGGGGAGTCAGATAATTATTCAGTAACCGTAAACATTGAGATTCAAAAAGTTAAAGCTTTATAAATGGTTAACACACAAACTGTCAAAACTATGTGTCAAAATATGCCAAATAAATATCCTTAAATCAACAAATCATACCTATATTTACTATTCATTTGCTAGTCCATTTGTAACAAGTCTAGTCTAAATCATTAGATTTTGACTGTAATAAGTTCTTAAGCAGCTTTTTTCTTAATTTGCCTAGCTGTACATTTTGATTATTAGTAGAAATATTTTTTCTGAGGTTTGTGTGTATACAGTAAAATTGATGTTTACCAACATTTACTGGTAGAAATCTAATCCTTCCAAGCCTAAATATAATATGTTCATTCTTATTATCCATATCTAGCCATAGATTCTAAGGCCTGAAGGGATCACTGTAATTATCTAGTCTGGCCTCCTGCAAGATTATTGTCCACATGCAAATTTTTCTGTTTGGGCACATAACCAGGAGCACAACTGAGGTGTCAGCTACATTTTATGTTAGTTGAACCCAATTAAAAATGAAACCTAGAGGGATATGGAGGTAGGGAGGAAAGGGGAAAGTTCTCACAAATCTTTGTGAAATGAAGTTGGAAATTTTGTGCAGTCTAATTACAGCTAGTAGGTGGAAGTGTTGTTTGTTTTTGTTTTTGTTTTTTTTGCGGGGTGGGGGTTGCTTCGAAAGGCACTGCCATTTCATTTTAGCACATGAAGCCTGGAATAGTTTTCAGGCTGGAGTTGTTCTTGTTTAGAGTTTGCCACTACATGATTGCCTAAGATAATATATGAGAGCTCAAGCATTTGTGACACTGAACATGAAAGTTAATTTTGGCTTCTCTCTCAACAGTTCTGGGAAAGGGTCCTTACAAACTGGTCAGCTACTGGGATGGAGAAGTTGCAATGGCAGCCAAATTGTTGGGTGGCTATGTTTTCCCAGTGAGAGCAGAAGATTTTGTTCCAGGAGATGCCGTGAGCTTTATGCTGACTTCAGGATGGTATAAGCCCAAAGCACATGGTAAAGTCACTGCAACCTGAAAATAAACATAGATAAAGACAAAGACAGAGTGGGGAGTGAACACACCCAGCAAATTCTGCCCTTGAAATACAGTCCTGCACCTGAGGACAGAATTGCCCACAGACCTTTCCTCTGCAGCTATCAGCTGATTCTAAACTTTAACAATGTCCGCCAACCTCTGCACTCCGTGGGTTTTAATTGGGTGATTCCAGCTTTATAAATAAATACTTTTAGTTTTCAAAACAACATTGTAACCTCCATATTTGTGATCCTGATGAAATACTGCAGTTATTTGTGCATCCAATTTCACTGCCGGGGAAAAGTTTGTTATAATAAATATTTTAATGATCCTTAACCCAAGATGCACCAGAAATGTCTGATCCTGCTGATCAGGTCCCTAGAGAGCCTGTAAGGAGTAGACTCTGCACCTCCTGCCTGCCATAGAGCAATGTTTTTCTGTGGCTTTCTGTGTGGGATCATAGAATGGGTCATTGGGGGTTGGCTGAGGGAATTGCAGGGCTCTAACTAGTGAGTCTGGTTCTACTGTAGAACTGGCTCAAAATTACATGTAGGAGAGTGCAGAGGGACAGGGCTGTTACTTCTGCTCTTAGTCTGTAGCAGGAATCTCAGTTTTTCTATACTAATGCCCTGTATCCTGCCTTTGATTTGGGGAGAAAGGTTTTGTCTCCTTTTCCAGCCATGCACAGACCTCTTCTGTTCAGGCTTTACCCTGCTTAACCAGGATTTGCAGACTCCATTATAACATTAAGAGGATGTCATTTAGTCATCTGGCCTTGGAGGAGTCTACAAAATCTGTATAACAATTTCTTTGTATCATCAGCCCAATTATATTGGAATTTCCTTCATGATTATCCACAGCAGCCATATAGATATGTAATTTGTAGTTTTATAAATTAGATAGTAAATTGTATCCCAGAAAAATGGGTACATTTTATTAGCTTCAGACCAGTGATAAAAGAAGACGGGGAGTTTTTGGTAATAAAGTAACTGTTGTATACAGAGTAGGTGATACAAATTGCATTGCCAATGTACCCGCTACAGCCAGTAATAGAAAAGATACTCTCTTCCATGCAATTCTGTGTTTCAAATAAATAAATGTTGTCATACTTGGAAGATAAGTGGTGCTCCAGAAATATGGTACAGAGCATAATAAAACATCTGTTTAATGGAGATTATTTGTTCTCTGTGCCCTCTTTTAAAAGAAATATTATCCAGTCCTCAGGGGATAGTTGATTTTACAGTTGTTCTATGGTTATTTTAAACAGAATACCACCGATTACAGAAAAATAAAATGAAGTAATACTGTGAGCAACAGGTGCTCATAATGGACTCGGTTCTTTCATTGAGCAGTACCTTACTCTGCAAGTGGTCCCACAGAAGTTTTGCTTGAAATCAGTGGGACTGTTTTAGTGACAAAGTAATGATCAGCATGTATAAGGTTGCGACAATAGAGCCGTTACTAGTATAAGGATAGGCACATTCCAAATCTGTTTTTAACATTATTTGTCCTGAGGATGGCTGGAGAGCTGACTGCTTGGAAACTGAAAAACATGACCCTACAAGCTAAATGTAAAATGCATTTTAGTTACTTCATTTTAAATGAATAATTGAGCTTTTGAGCTATAACTTCCAAATGGGCAAGCATAACTTTGTAAAACTGGTGAGACTGTATTTTAATTTTGGATAAAAATAAGGCTAACAAAGGTAGTGAACTGAAGTTATATGCTCACTGTGGGCTAGATTACTGCACCCTCATGTTGACAAGTACCATACCATGCATTATAGTCCCTTTGAAATCATTGGGGCTACCAGGTACTCAATATGAGTAAAGCCAGCAACATGTATGCATATTTAATATTTTTCCTTAAAAGAGCTGGGCCAAGTTCATCCTTACTGTGGTATTGACTTTAGTGATGTTACACCAAAGATAAATCTGGCCCACTCTGCTTAGACCAGTGAATATGTTGTTGTGTTTTTTCAGATCCCAACTTGGTTTCATTTGAAGCAGCTGACCGACCAAATTATTTTCTTCATTTGGCTTCCAATGATACCCTGCTTCTTTCCAAATGGGAAGAAAGTGAAGAGTTCCATAACAGATCAACCTTTGCCATCCACAAGAACACATGGCTCCCAGGATACAGTTCCTTTGAGTCATTTGCAAAGCCAGGATTCTTCATCCACATTTCAGCTTCTTCAGTTGATCTTTTGAAATACAAGCATTCAGAGAAATTCAGACTGTCGACTCTTTTTAAACTTGTAGGTATGTACTAAAATTAATATTTTATGAACTATAATTTACTACTTTAACCACATTTTGAAAGTGTGGGAGCTTTGTGGGCCAAATTCTGCCCTCATTTGCATCATCCAGCATTACTCTTTTCACTGGAATTACTGGATTATAACTGAGAATTTGTGGTCTGATTCTTCTTCCTCACCATTGCAAATTAGGAATAACTCAGTTGAAATTAATGGAGTTACACTTGTATAAAACCAGTGTAAGTAAGAGGAAAATCAGGGGTTGTTTGACATTATAAACAATGGGAAGCATACAGTAAATTGAAATTTAAGGGAGTATGTGGTATAGTAATGATAGCAGTGGGGAAGATTATTTTGTTTACGTCCAACAGCTTGTAAAATACAGATTATTTTATAGAGTCACACTTGCTATGGAGAGAAGTGGAATAAAGAGAACCATTTGCAGAGTGGGGTATAATAAAACACACACAGACATACTGATTAAAAAAATAAATGTGAAAATAAAGCAGCTGAAGGAATGTGAACCAAATTTTGATAATGATTACAGTGAAGATGAATCTAGAAAGATGAAGTGAAGAGGCACCATGTTGAGTTTCCCTGGAGAAAACTTTTTTTTTTCCTTTTCCATTTCCTTCTAGGTTTAGGAATCTTCTTATTTATTTTTATGCATAAAGATTCCTGAATAGATTTTTGTGGAAAGTTGTTTAGGCTGACATGGCTCTAATGTCATAGTTGAGGTTAAAGTACAACCTTGTTCATGAAGCCTAAATCAATACAACCTGAATTGATAAAGAAGAGTAGTAGAGTTCAGAATTTTTTTCTGCAGAAAACCATGAATTTTGTCAAAAAACAAAAACAGAATTTTTTGGGGGGATGAGGGGGAGTTGTTGATTTTTCCATGAAAAATAAAAAATGGAGGAAAATGTTTCATTTGCTGAAACCCCAATTTTCAAGTGGAAAAAAGTTTCATTGGAAAATTTTTGATTGGGTCTAAAGGAAAGTCTGGGCTTTAACATGGTAGTGGTTAGTGTCTTTTTCATGTATGTCAGTGAGGGGACTCTCTGAAGATAGATCTCCACAGCATTGCTCCTATTCTTGGGACAAAAAGGCTTCTGTTCAAAATGGGCAAGGAATAAGTGGGGCAGAGCAGAGGACTGGCAATACACTGCTGAATTGTTTCCTACAGACCCTGCCTATGCAGAAATTCAGTCAGGACTTAATGTGACTTGGAACTGTATTAACTGTCTCTGGGTCCCCTTAATGACAGTGGCTGCCATTAAGCAGGCAGAGGAGGACCCAGTCAATAGAAGCTATGTTGCCAAGGGAGCAGAAGGTCAGGGGAGCCATGTGGAGGGTTGGATGTTTGTCTGGTAAGTGCCTGTCTCTACAGATTTGTGAGTCTGGGAGGTGTTTTTCCACCTGCACACTTTAATGCTTCCCAAAGCTCTCACTGTGTGTGTGGGGGGGGTGCTTCCCAATAAATTCTATGAGGTGAAACTCTGTCCCTCCCCTTCCACAGGAAATTTCTCTGGGAAGGGGGTGATCTGGCCTATGGATTTTAGCTTTAGATGCGGAAGCCTAGTTTAACGTCCTTCTATGAGTTGGGTGACTCTCTGAACTCAAGTGCACATTCCTCATGGGAGCAATCCACAACCGGCAATGAGAAATGGTAGAGAAAATGACATTATTAGCCCAATTCTGGTACGGTCCTGTGCCTAGACACCTACCAAAATCCCATGGACACCAAAGAATTTATTCCACACTGGTTTTGGCTCCTTGCAGAACTTATGGTGAGGCATTTCCACAGGCCATGCAGAACAGGAGCTCCAGAGGGACCTGTTGGGGTGGTCCACAGGTTTCTGTATGGGCACCCGTCTCAGCAATAGCACTCACACGGGGAGTATTCACACTTGTAGGAGTAACTTGTGAAGGAACTGCTGCTGGCCAAGACTCAAGTACACAACTATGCCACTTTAAAGAACAGACAGTATCTCATCAGCTTGTGTGCTAGATACTTCAGAAGAGGAAGAAGGTAATCACCCTGCATTTGTCTCTGTTGGTTTGTACTGCCATTTTGTAAATTATAGATGGGCCTCAATTGTAAAATTCAGATCCTGAATTCAACATCCCCACCCCCCATTACCCAAAAGATTTGAGGGTGTTTGGATCCAGAGCTTTGGTTCAGGCCCATATCAAATGTACCTATAATGATTTTATTTCTGTGGAAAGGTAGGAGTAAAGAATGAAGCAGCACTAGTAATACAGAGGGGATTCCTCTGAAAAAGCTAGAGGGTCCTTACAAAGGAATGTGTGATAGAGTAAAAGTTTTATTTTCCCCTCTGCCAAGATTTTCTCTGCAGGAGTTATTTATTGATCACTTAAACTCTGAGCTGTTAGCTTAATGGGCCTGATTTTCTGATAGATGCTGAGTGGCCTTAACTCCCATTGAAGTCATTGGTAACTACAGATACTTAGGCTCCCTAAAAATCAGGCCCAATTGCTTTTTCACAGAGCTGTGCATTGAAGGCTAAACCCTGGTTCTGTGTTATGTGGCAGTAACCTCTTGCATGAGCTAGCTGTATGCCACGCCAACTAGTTCTGAGGCTGTTCAGCCTAGTGCACAAGGAATTGTGGAGGGTATCTGCTCCTTGGATTGTGTGCAGCTGCTCAGGGGTATAGGGAGCTCATGCAGATGGACACAATGGCTGCCCCAAATAACAATACATAAATCCTGTAAACCCCATGGAACTGCTTCAGGAGAGTGAGAGAAAGGTTGAATGTGTCACTGAGAGAACAGTGTTTGGAGGTCTCTCCCTTTCTGCTGTCCTGTGATTGCCATAGGGGATGGTGAATCTTCTGCCCAGTTGTTCCCATCCTTCAGTCCCTGACGACCATTCCATTTCAGAAGGGTCAGCCAAGCAGTGCTATGGACACTGGCTATGGATCACAGAGCCCATTCGTTATCATCAGCTATGACTGCCCTGAAGGAGAACCTGTCCCTCTGTCCCCTTCCCCACCCACTGGGATCTCAGAGAGGCTCTGCCTTTTGTGATGTCATCCCTCAGTTCTTCAGCTGCCCTACGTGGCAATTGGGACAGGGAAGGGGAGGGATAGAGACACAGATTTCTCATTTGGGGCCCATGTGTCTGTTTCTGTAGGTGATTCTGAGGCAGTTACAGATCTTGTTGATACTGTAAACTGTTGCAATCTCTATGCTGCATACATGTGTAGGGCCAGGATTTGATGCTGAATGCCTGTACTGAAATGCCAGGAACAAATTTTTGAGATCTTTGAGATTTGGAGGGTGCAAAATGTATATGAGAGAGTTTTTAGAGAGAGAGACAGGAAGAAGGTGGATGAGAGAAGATGATGGTGGGGATAGTACAGAGAGATTGGGAAGGGGAACTGAGAGGGAAGGAGTGTTGGGGAGAGAGCCTGGAAACTCAGGAGGAGGAAGAGAACACAATATAGGAAAAAAAAGAGAATGAGAGAACAAAGATTACATACTATAGAAAATTATAATGAGTGGAAAATAGAGTGAAAGACACAGGAAAAGATGGTAAAATACATAGGGGAAGAAAAGAAAAAACAGAGTGAAGGGAAAGGCAAAAGAACAATGCAAGGTAGGCAAAGTATTTTTTTAAATATTTGTACTTAATATAAAAATTGATGTAATAAATAATGAGTTGTATTTTTTTTTTAATGGATGGGACAGAATTCAGTTAGGTTCAGCCCTGGCTGGTTATGATGTTTGTCTCTTGATTCTGCCTTTTTTATGTGAAATATAATTCTGCTTCCTGTAGTTGCTGCCCTCCTCCTCACCGACCAACACCCACTTCTTCCCCCTGTGGTTGCAGCTATCAGTGTCCTGGTTTTTATTTTGAAAATATGGTTCACTTTACATTAGTAACTATTAACTTCCTTAATCAGACCTAATTTACAAACTGATTAGTCAAAGTCACAAAGTCCTTTCAGCCACACACCCTGAAAAAAGCTTCTGCAGGTATGAAATGCAGTTGCCTGTCTTCTCAGCAATACAGGTTTCTGTGAAGACATCCATCTGGTGCTGTGCTCTCTGCACCAGCTCCCCACTGTACAGAATCCAGTTTAAGGTCTCTGCTCTGATATTCAAAGCTTTCCATTGAACTGGCCCTAGCTACCTGAGAGATCACCTCTTCTTCTATGACCATGACCTCCAATTACATCTATATTGTAATGGAAGAATGGAATTCTTGAATAGTAGCGACCATGAGTACAGGAGACATGAGACCTTAAGAACTGGATCTAGACTATGGAAATTACTCCCACTAGAACTGATAAAAAACAAACAAAAACCCCTATAAACGAATCTACCTATTTCTCCTGTAGATTTGGAAGGCAAAGAAAGATCATTATTGTTGTTAACTGTTTTAAAATACTTGGGAGCTGCTATTACATACAGGGGACCTTATAACAACTTACCGAGATATAAGAAGCTATATTGGCCTGCAAAATAAAATAAAACTGTGTGTTCATGAAGTAACATTTAGTTCAGCATCAACTTGCCTTGATCCAAATCATATATTGAATATGCTTAATCCAAAAATTCTTGGTGGACCTCAGTGGCAATTATTGCTTCCTCAACATGATGGCTTGTGTGGTATTCTAAAGTCATTTACAAAATGTACATTATTTTGTATATGGTAAGGATTTTTATGCTATAATTTTAAATGGATCAGTAACTTGTTGTAGGAGTATGTTCACAGATATCCCTGAAGTGCAAATATGTGATATCAGTCCTTCATTGTCTGTCTCTGAAATAGCTTTTGCAAGCAAAGGAGGAAAATGAAATATTGCAACAAATGAGGCATCATTTGGCTGTGTTGTACAGTTACCATTATAAATCTCTACTGTTAGGCACAGACAAATCTGAAACAGGCACTCACTTATATGACAGAAGAGACCAACTGTATGCCTTATGGAGCACCCTGTTATCAAAACATTGAATTAAAGTGTTAATGGTGG